GTTTATAAGGCGCTATGTATTTTTCCAAGCACTTACGTTTGATCACTTTCAATTCAAAAAGTGACCTAAGTTTAGACGAAATGACCATAACATAAAGAGAAGTGGAGTGTATTGACCAGGGACAGTCAACCTAGGCAGGGATGAAACCCTCTAATCCGAAGCAGTCCTTCTTTCTCCTCCTCCTCCGTCACTCTCCACCTCCTTTCTCTGCAACATCACCTCTTGTCCCCATGGCAATCTTAAGAACGTATCTGAACTTTTTTGTTTTCTTACTTCGTTTCCTTGTTTTTGTCTAACTCTCCAATGTAAACCTCGAGAGCAGGAACTTGGACTTTGTCATTCAAGAGACTGCAGTGCCTAGAACATCTCTCATGCTCAATAAATGCACACGGCACATAGTAGGTGCTCAGCAAGTAATGCTGAATGAATAAATGACCACAACCGGAATCTCCAGGCATCAGTGCTCTTTCTGCCATGGATGTTGGGGTGGCAAAGAACGTTCATGATAAATAACAGCTATATCCCTGCTAAATACCTGCCGCGGTTAAAGAAGCAAAGATACAGCAATGACCACAGACAGGCCAGTGCCAGAGAAGAAAGGCAAGGACGCTGGCTTCGGTCCTTAAGCATTTCTGTTCCCTGATAAAGTCTCTGAAAGCAAATAACCCTTGAGGACCTATAAAGAATGAGGAGTATATAGTTTCTCAGTGAATTCTACTCCTTTCCCTCATCTTTTAGTAACAAATGAAGTTCAAGGGTGAGGTCAGAGGAAGAAATCAGTGAGCGGGAATGTGAGACAGAAGCTCTCTCATTTGGACTGTGGTCTCCTGTTTTGGAGCCAGAGCTCCATCAGTCTGGCAGTTTCTCAAACATTAAACGTAGAGTTACCCCATGACCCAGCAATGACCCAGCAATTCCACTCCTGGGTATCTACCCAAGAGAAATGAAAACGTATGTCCACACAAAAACTTGTACAAGAATATTTATAGCAGCAACATTCATAATAGCTGAAAATTCCGAACAACCCAAATGCCCATCAACTGATGAACGGATAATGTCATATGGATAATGTCAGATCCATACGATGAACATCATTCAGCAATAAAAAGAAATGAAGTACTAATTACATGCTACAACATGGATGAGCCTTGGAAACATTATGCTACATGGAAGAAGCCAGTCACAAAAGACCACATATTGTGTCTGATTCCATTTATATGAAATGTCTAGAATAGGTAAATCCATAGAAGTATAAAGTAGATTCATGGCTGCTGAGAGCCAGGGGAGGAATGACCGCTGATGGGTACAAAGCTAAGCTCTTTCTGGGGTGACGAAAATGTTTGAAAGTAGACAGTGATGACGGCTGCCCAACTCTGTGTACAGTGTACTTAGTAAATAACCACTGAATTGTATACTTTAAATGAGCAAACTGTGTGGTATTTGAGTTATATCTCAATAAAGCAGTAATTTAAAAACAAAAACTGAAGCAATGACTAAATCCTCCTATAATGTGCAGAGGGCAGGGGAACGTCTGCACCCCCCTATATTTCCCCCATGGAAGGGGAACAACAGCTCTGCCCTGTAATATCCAGGGTTTTGTGGAGGTCACCTCTGGTCCCCTCTCTTTACACCAGCTTGCCTTGGTCTCCTATTTTCTCTTATTCACTCAACAGACTTTTGCTGAGCACCTGCTGTATGCCAGGAGCTAGGCAGGCACAGGCCCTGTAGATGGAGGAGGAGCAGGTTTGCCTTCAAGGAGCCACTGCTCTCAGAAATTATTCATTCAAGCACTGGGCAGGAAACAGAAAAAGGTATTTTTCTGTGAGTCCTGGAAAAAACAGTATTTTTCACGTCTGGGTGGACTCACGTCCACTCCGGAAAAGCACAGGCAGATCTGGTATGCATGTATCTTGGGGGCAGGGTGGGGAAGAGTGTGCAGACGGAGGAAGCTGACGGACACAAAGCCCCTGGGGCCATGACGTGGTGCCAGTGTCACCCTTACATTCCATCCCGTCCTGTGGGTGTTTCCGTTTTGTTTATTTTTTCAAAGGGGGGCTAGAACACAAGTTATTACTCAGCATTTCCATCGTGTTTCATGTTTGCAAAGCCCTCCTGTCGGCGCCTAGTCCTGAACTGCCCAAAATAATAAAGGAATTTGACACTCTGGCCAAGAACTCTAGGTACTCAGCAGATACAAGAACCTATCGCTGGGCAGCTGGAAAGGCAGGCGCTGTTTAAAAAACTAATCCCATAAAATAAACACTATTGAAAAATATAATCCCATATAATAATCCATCTCTCATGCTGAGATCCCGCTCAGTGGTTAATGAACTCAGTGAACTCATGATGTAGACTGCTGTTCTAAATCTCTCTCCCTGTTCACACCTCGACACGTACCCACTTTGAAAGAACAGGCACTGACGTCCTTCTTTGAGATGAAAGAGTTCTATGGCTGACACAGCAAGTATTTTATGGTGGCAATTAGGAAGAAAATTGGCTTCTTGCTGGCAGGACCTACAGCACACGGACCATCGCATTGAAGATGCAACACTGATGTAGTTAACTGTTTTTGTATCAGTGTCAACTGGGCCAGCACTTCCTATAAGTGTACCACTGTGTGAACTGCAATATACTAGAAGCATGTGGGTTTTGGAGTTTTTCGACTCGAGTTGATGGTATTTGAAATGGATATGTTTGTGTGCCTGTGTTTATATTTATATTTAACTAAGCTCAGTGACCCCTTTAGCTTGGTCCCCAGGACTGCTGCCTTTAGGGATGTTCATTGGCCAACCAGGAGACCATTTGGTAAAGTATAAATAGAAACAATGAACACACTTAAAATTACTATCAATATGAACCCTAAAAGGATAAAGTTCTTCAATTAATCATTTCAGAAAAATATACTAGGGTCACATAAAAATGAAGAAAGAATTTCAATGATGTATTTTAAAAACATCATTTACTTCGCTTCAGACCAACTCTCCATTCTTCCCTCCCACACTTAGGAAAGCTTGGCAAAACAACACACACACACACGCACACACACATGCACATGAGAGTTAACATGGCAGTGAAGAATTATCAAGTCAAGACCTAAAAGAGACCAAAACCGAAAAAGACCAGTCAAGCATCTGGGACTGCTTCCCTCTTGGGGCATCTGCTGATTTAAGGAAAGATCCGAGTGGCTGAGAAGCAAAGCAACATTTTTGACAGCCTTGTAGGGCCAGGAGAGTAAAAACTGGAGCCCGGGACTACCAGTGAGTTGGCTGTCATTTTAGACAAAATAGAGTAAGGCATAACTGCAGATAAAAGGTTTAATAAGCAGAAATGAAAAGCTGGAACTGTTTAATGTAACAGTTCTAAAGTGGTGGGCACCTATAAACAGGTCTCAGAATGCATAAAAGCAAACAACTCACATTAATGTAAGGAGTCACAGACAAATTAGAATCACGGTGGAAGATTTAGTACAGTAATAGAAAAAGCAGAAAAAAAGTTAGTATACAACAAATTTGAAAAGTGACTAAGAAATTTGAATCTAATTATCATATACAGAACTTTGTACCCAATGGCCCTTAAATATACATTCTTTCCAAGCCCATATGGAAAAGTTAGAAAAATTGAACACATGCTTTTCACTTGCACAACAGGAAAATGTATGTCCACAGAGGCTAGACGGAGTGGATTAATCTGTCCCCTGACAAAGAGGTATGACCTCGTGAGGTTGGAAGGGACTGTGGTTTATAAGGAAAGGAGTCCCCAGAAGATAAGCTGACTGTCGTGGTGACTTAGAATCAACGCTTGGCTGGGCCTGAGATGAGGGTGAAAGCAGAGAGAGAGAATGGAAAGGGAAGAGTGCACACAGCTGTCTCTGTCTTCCACCTGCCCCTGGGACCTATATGGTTGCACCGAGTTGTGTGGAAGGGAAAAGAATAATGCGAAACCCCAACCCTCTGCCAAAAACTAAAGAGAAGCAGAAATACCAACAGAGTCTTCTGTGCGGATAGCCAGATGACTTGGCTTTTCTATAGTCAAACCTGGCTTCCCTTCCTCCTGCCTTCCCATCTCCCCTTCCTCATCCTGCATCATCCTGTCCCATCCTAGGAACCTGCGTGGGATCCTGGAGGACCACCTTTGCCATTCGACCATCACGGATATTTACATGGTGGGCCGGACCCTGCAAATGCAGAGTCCCTGTTGATTCTGTCTAGCTTCCACCTCATTCCTACGCCATTCTTCAGAGACAATAACTGGGCCCCTAAAGATTGTTCTTGGCTTTGATCCCCAACTTTAGTGGCCTGAATATGCTTTACTGTGCTCTGGGGGTTTGGATTAGAAATGTCAATATGTGGAGGAAGCCTCCTCCTAGGATTTAGAGAACCTAGAGTTGAAGCTAGAAACCCAGGGTGGGTGCAGACATACAGGTGCTCTGCAGACAAACGGGTGGCCCTAAGCACTGCCCTACAGCCCACGAACAGGTTAACTGAACCGCCACCCTCATCCGACCTAGTTGGAGCAGACAAGTAAGTTTTCTGGACCTGCTTAAGTCTTGACCTAATTCTCTGAAAGAATCACAGCAACCCCAGGAAGTCTCTCCCTCGTTTCTTCCCCCAACCTGGCAACATTAAGTGCTGAGTAGAAAGAGACCCTTAATCAGCAATGCTTCCTCTGAGCCACCGCAAACCCCACGTTCCAAGCGTCTGCCCATGAGCCAGCTCTGTAGCTGATCCTTGCACCCAGTGGCTGCAGCACGAAGACGGCATCCTTCACACACCCACGTGTCTCGACTCCCACGTCTGCGCATGTCTGCATTCGTGTATTCAGCTGGCTGTTTTGAAATCACCCTCAGTACAAAATTGTGTCACCTAAGTACTTCCTGGATTTTTACTACCGTGGCTTCAGGAAGTAAAGCGCGTTGATGTTTACTCTACATGCTTTGTTAATAAGTAACGTCCACTGTTTCTGCCCTTGCCCCGGGCTGGCAGAAGGCCGGCCGGACTTACCCTCATACATCTCCAGGATGTGAACTGTGTCGCCGATCTGCAAGGAGAGCTCCACATCTTGAGAAGCATTGTAGTTATAGATCGCTGGAAATGAGAAATCAAAGGGGAAAATTAGAATATATGTCACTAATTAGCATATTCAGGGGTTAGTGAACAATTTAATAATTTCACGTGAATTACCCAGTGTAAAGCAGAGAAGGGATCCCCATTTCCTTGATCCAACAAATATTGATCATCTGCCTATCATGGCTCATATACTGTGTTAGAGACCAGTGACAGAGTGACAAATCACATAGACACAGCCCCTGTCCCCAGGGAACTTAATGGTCTAGTGCAAGGGAGAAAGATTAAATATATAATCACAGAAATAACTATGTAATTAAAATTGTGATAAGCACTAGCAAAGAAGAAACCAGGCTACAATGAGAATATACTGTGGGCTCTGTTGGTCAGTGCCCTTGTTCATTGGACAACAGCCAGCCTACAATACTACTTGGCTAATGGTCTCTAGGGCATAGGCGAGCCATCTCTTGGCTTCCCTGACATAGTATTTGGTGGCCAAAAGGCCACTAGTGAGTCCCATCTACCCTCCAAATGCCAGACTGGCACAGGCGCAATGCAGGGATGGTGCCTGTCCCAACCCAAGGCACCCAGGGAACCAGGCGGCCTTCACACTTCCCAATTACAGTGACCTCAGCCACTGCTGTCCTTAAGACTGTCAATGGCTGGGCCAGGGTGTGGAAACCAAGAGACTAGCTCATAACTCAAAAAGAGGAAGACAATCCGACTTTTTAAGATAGTCAAGAGCTTTGAACAGATACTTTACCAAAAATTATCTATGAATGGCTAATAAGCACATGAAAAGATATTCAACACTATTAGTCATTGGGGAAATGTAAATTAAAACCACAATGAGACACTACTTCACACCCACTAGAATAGCTATGATTTTTAAAAAAGGTAGACAATTGGTAAAAACAAAGAAACTAGAACCTTCGTACATTGCCGGTAGGAATGTAAAATGATACAGCCCCTTCTTAAAACAGTTCGGCAATTTCTCAAAAAGTTAAACATCAATTTACCAGACAACCCAGCGATTCCATTCCTAGGTATCTACAAAGAGACATGAAATCATATATATGTCTACACGAAAAATTTATGTGAATGTTCAGAGATGAAAAATGGCTCCCCCAAAGATACCCACATCAAATCCCTGGAACCCGTGCATGTTATCTTATATGGCAAAAGAACTGAGAGAGTTAAGCATCTTGAGAGGGGCAGCCTCTCCTGAACTATAAGGGTGGGCCTTGAATGTAACCACACATAAGCATACGAGACAGACGGAGGGAGTTGTGACAGACACACGGGAGAGACAGCAATGAGAAGATGGAGACAGACATTGGAATGATGAGATCTCAAGTCAAAGATTGCCAGCAACCAATAGCTGGATGAAGCAACGAACGGAATCCCCCAGGGAGCCTCCTAGAGGAATACAGCCCTGTCCACACCGTAATTTCCAAATTCTGGTCTCCCAGAACTAAGAGAGAATAAATTCTTGTTTTAAGCCATCAAGTCTGTGGTCTTTGTTACAGCAGCCACAGTAAACCATGGCGGCAGCAGCAGTACTCACAGCAGCCAGAAAATGGAAACGATTCATCTACTGACGAAAGGATATATAAAATATGGCATTATCCATCCAATGGAATACTACTCAGCAACAAAAAGGAATGAAATATAGACACATGCTACGACATGGATGAACCTCAAAAACATTACACTAAATGACAGAAGCCAGATGTAAGAGACCACATATTTTATGATTTCATATATTTGAAATGTCGAGAATAGGCAAATCTATGAGACGTTACAGCAGATTATGGGCTGCCTGGGGCTGCGGTGGGAATGTTGGTTGGGCACATCGGACACCACGGAGATTTTGGGGGTAACGCTGGATTGTGCTGATACTTACACAACTCTGTAAATTTACTAAAAATCACTGAATTATATACTTAGACTATATGGATTTTATGGGAACTTCAAGAAAGCCGGGGTTTGAAGTTTTTTTGTTTGTTTCTTTGTTTTTTAAGTAGATTTATTTCTTGCCCTCACTCTACTGACGAGTGATCTGCATCCTTCCAGGGAAAAAGAACCACCTTAGAGGTTCAGTTGTAGTCATTTATGTGCTGACCCAAGGAACCCACGCTGTTCTCCATCTCTGCAAGCCCAATGAGCACATGAGGATGGGCACTCAGTCCCTCTGCATATCCCACAATCACAAAAACAAAGTCCTATTCATAATTAAGGAAGAAAGGTGTCCCTGTCATTGCCAGTGGTGGGTGCTCCATGCTCTTCCCTGCGTGCATGTGACAGCTGTAGCATGGCCTATGTCACAATTTATTTGTGAATGGGAAGGAACACACGTCCCCCCACTTCTTTTCAAGTGGTCTCTCGTTTACGAAGGAAGTCATCCAATAGTATTCTTCTGAGGTCCTGGCACAAAAGCTGGGACAAATTATGTTGGAATTTATTTCCCTATTGAGCTTTTGGTCTAGACTATGAATTCTAAACAAGGATTGGCTGGTGAAGTAGTGAAATTGTACAAGATTCAGAAGGAAGAGTTAGTTCCTGATTCCTAGACCTGTTCATGGGTCACTGGGCCACAGCTGCTATTCCACTGAAGTTCAACTCCTTCATCTGACTGCTGGTTCTCCAGTGTTTTGCCTGCTAAGAGTGTGGCTGGTTTTCTGCAGAAATGTAAACTTCACATCCTTGATGCCCACTAGTCCCCCATTCTCAGCCTTCTGCTGAAATGGTTCCTTCCACCAGCCCCCCTCTCCGATGGAAACAGGAAGTATGAGGTCACTGTGTCACACAGTGTTCTGTAATGACCAAGTCTCATCTCTTCCTGGTTCTTAGTCATTGGGAAAGCAAGCAGAAGCTCTCAAAGGCAGCACCTTGCACTGGTATCTCCAAGCACAAACACTTACCAAGGACTGTTGGAAACATGCATGACACACACACACACATGCACGCATGCACACACGCAACAAAGACCAGTATGTTTCCTTCAAATCTAGACCCCTAAGCCTGACTCAGAGTGCTCCAAAAGTTATCCCAGCCTTAATAATCCATCTTTGTCTCCACTGTCTGCCAAATTCCAACCCCTTTTCCAGTCATGACTCGTATATTCTTCCCTAAATTCTGGCCTCAACCCGTGGTTTGTCCCTGCCTAGAACAGCAGCCTGTTTTTGTCTTTATAACAATCCAAATCTCACATCGACAATTCAATTCATCGAATGACGACTGGTTCCCTGTTACATGCATGGATCTTTCTTCTCTGACATCCCACAACAATTTTTCCTTTTAGCACAGTTTGGGTTTTTAATCACAGATAATCTTGTGTAATTGTCTGCCAATAACTATTAATAGAAGGAAACCTCCCATGAATAGAGACCTGATTACACATGACTTTTGTGTCTTTCTCATTACAAGGTGCAAGCTTAGACACAAAGAAGGTACTCAAGGTGCAATAATGACTTTAGAAAATATTTTTTAAAAAATAATACTTTTATTCCTTTTACAAAATATACCAAAATGTTATTCACCACTTCTTCCCCAAACTCAAACACACTTCTGCTTTCTTGTGGAGAGGCAGCTGTGGTTTCCCATCACTCAAGAAAGGGATACTGAAATCACTTCTCCAGCCACTTTCTGTTTATCGCAAGACAGAATCTGTCTTTCCAAGCTAAGCTTACAAGAGACTCACATAGGAAGCACATCCCTTCCCTCTTTTCTGAAAAGTCACCCCTTAGAGGATGTTTGTACAGTCTGTTTCATGTCTCTGGGCAAAAGTACAAACAAGATTTCCAATCACCTACAGCCATCATCTGCTGGTTCCAACTCTTCACTTAGTGGCCTGCTCTCCATATCCCTCACCCTAATACACCTCATATTCCCTTTCTATTTTATAGTTTCACTTTATATACAATATATCTTAGTAACTGTGTGATGTGGATGTAGGTACCATGTTATTTAACGAGGAGGCTGAGATTCAGATGGGTTGAAATAAACCCAGCTCATGAACGGCAAGGCTGTTACTAAAGACGGTCCATTCGCCACATTTGACCAGGCTGGTCCATAATGGTGAAGGTATGCCCTGGAATATCCTAGAAACAAAGAGAAAAGCCAGGATTTATCCTACTTGCAAAAACAAGCTTTATTGTAAAACCAGTGACTGCTGATCATGTTGCCTGCTAGTGTGGTGCAATTTTGAGAACAGGAAAACAACTAATGTACTCAGCGGGCCGTATTTTCTCCCTAAAACTTGAGTAACTGTTACAGAGAAAGCTAGAGAAAAGGGAAACCAAGGAAGACCTTAGAGCTAAGCAAGACTCAACGTTACCACTTACAACACATTGCATGACCTTGTATGAGTTGGGCCTCAGTTTCTCATTTGTAAAATGGGGTTGGCTCTAAGGGCCCCTCTGGCTCAAACGTCTTCTGGTGCACGGGTTGACAATCAGAGGCAAAAGAAACATGTTGTACCATTTTTGAACAAGCAGGCACCACCACCATCTCTTGTTTTGACTGAAAAAATTAAACAAGTACAGGGAGTTGCTGCACATACTATGCGCAACCATGGGAAAGGCAGATTGCTGGAATTCTTCCCTAAGTAGCTTACTGTTTATAACAGGAAAGTATAATTTTGTAAAGCCAAGTAGACAAGACATAATAGTTTGCCTTTTCCCGAATCCTTGATTTGGCTCTTTCTTTTAAACCAGGCTTATGTGAGAGAAGAAAGTTGAAGTCCTGGGATTACGCAATAAGAAACCAACAGAACAGACTTGCAGGCTGCAAACTGAGGATCAGTTTTGATGATGAAAGTCTGTGGGCTACTAGTAAAGAATATTTCTAATGAATGAGAGTCTTTCATGAATCCTCAACTTACAACCCCCTGAAGACTAACTGAAACATTACATTTTTATTAGTCCTCTGATAGAATCTACAAAAGAGATCTAATAAACATAGAATGAGGTCCCCATGTGAGTTGTATACTATTAAGAATATTTAAAAGATGA